GTAGTACGAAGGATAGTACTTCCCGCAGATCAACTCCTTGAATTGGTCCCATGTACAACCTTCTTTCTCGCCGGGACGCATACCCCAATGGGCATTCCACCAGAGTCTGGCAACACCGGTCAACTGGATTTGTGCGCATATTACACGATAATGATCACGATAGTCCATGACCTCGAAAATCATTTCAAGGCCCTGAAACTATTCGTCCACTATACGAGGATCTCTTTGGTCGGAAAACTTTTCTGGATGATAGTCGCGAAAGTGTGCGACTACTGTGGCCTGAGGGAGCTCATGATGACCTGGTTCTCTACGAGGCGGCATCTGAACATTGAAAATATCAACCTAATCAGACGCAAACATGATAAATTGCTTATTAATGCGCACAGATCTCTTGACGAGTTGCTAACATTAACCCGAGAAAACTAAAGTCGAAATATCAAATAACTGGGACAATCGATTTATACTTTAAACATACTTGATCATTAACTCGAGCATCTTACTGGTTTCAAGGGTTAAATATCTGATACCCTCTGCTGAGCATAGACTAATGCATCTGTTTAGATATATAAACTGTAACTCAGCACTTACCTGTAGTCGGCGAGGCGTGAGCGTAGCGTGGTCGGGTCTTCTCTTGAAAATTTCTGATTCAATAAAGTATTCAGATACACAAAAACATGCTCTGATACCATTTGTAACACCCTACTAGATTATTAAAATCAGAGTGCGATTTTCGCAAAATCTTTTCTAAGGAATACGTATTGGTTTGCGAAAACATGATTTGGGATGCTACTGATAATACATTAATTTTCTGAAAACCCGTTGACTTAGTTAACAAGAACTTATTAAGAAAAACGAATTATTCTTTATTAACATGTCATACTGTATAAATCCGACCCGAAGGTTCGGATCAAAATCTTAAACTAGTATGTCAGATGGAAAGTCTGAAAACGTCAGCAGAAGTCAAAACAGTAAATAATATACATATCATAAGTCTGCAAAAACATATTTACTGGACCAACAACCACCTGCTCCGCTCACTCCTCCGGACCGACCCTGTCACTTGAAAAAAAGCATTATAAAGTGGGAGCGTGAGCACTAAAGCCACTGTGCTCCGCAGAAACTCATACTAAAGTAAACATTAATAATAATAATATCATGGCTGCAGGTACGTATAAGTAAACTATAATCTCCAGACACAAGGTCTGTAACTGAGCTGAGCTGTCTCGGACACTATGTCCGCCATGTGCACACTCTGATGGATACTTAAGGCCTTGCGCCTCCACCAGAAATTTGGATGGGTACTTAAGGCC